TTGGAGCAGTTGGAAATTAATTAAATTCATGTCAAAGTTCAAATTCTGAAGTTTTTTCTGTCCAAAATATTGCTATTATTCAGTCACTGCTGAAAATGATGGGGAACATTTTTTGTTGTTGTTCGTTGATTGGTTAATGATGCTGTGCAACATTTGTTGCTGCCCATGTTTGCTTTCAAACTGCAGATTTTAACTCAATTTTCAGAATGTAAGTCCTCAGGGATTTTTGTGATGACTGATCCGGATGTATTGACCTCGATGAAATCAGCATTCCGAGATCAACGTGATGAATCGAAAGATGCACGACGCGAATCCGGATGTATATATTTTTTAATAAAGCAGTTGAATCAAATTGTGTTTGCCCTTGAAGCCTCGTCCGTTGTTTTTACCGAGTTGAAGGTTGATTATGTGACGAGTAAAAAGAAATCCGTTTTTTGTTTAATCATTCTCAATTTTTCCCTTTTTTACTGTGTTGTGTAATTTTTTATAGATTGATCACTGTCGGTTCCTTTTTTTTTTTACATAAATTAATTCCTTCGTGTCTTTTATTTTTGTCAATTGGTGAAGACGGAGATTGTTTAGGTTTCACGCTGATAAAGATGTAGTGAGTATAATTCCCGCATAACGAAATATTTTACTAACATATATGAAAATCTACAAAACAAAGAATGTTTAGGGGATAAGCATGAAACACATTACGAAATCATTTCACGTAACGAAAATTTTGACAGAAAAAAATGCCCAAATTTTGAACTAAAACTTGAGAATTTTCAAAAAAGATCGAGGAAGGAAAAATGTACAATAGTTTCTCATCATCTTGTCCTGACAATGATGAAGATTCTGAAAGTTACGAGGAAGAGTTGTCAGGATTACTTAGATTAAGTGCTAAGCAATTTTAATATTCTCAATTTTCCACTTTTAGAGAAATTAAAACTGTCGACTAAATTTTGAGTGACACTTGGAAAGTATCCTATATTTCACAAATTTATTTTCTACCTCTTCACTTGTAAAAAAAAAATCATCTCTTCGGGCTGTTGAATTCTTGGCATTTCCAGCTAAGACTTGATAGAATTGAGAGTACAAATTGACTCACCCGTAAAAGTTAATTTTCTGTATCACGAGTTGCGGAGAATAGACTATGAAAAATGAACCTGGATTTTGACGTAATGTAATTGTATTTTCTTCTGACTCCGTTCAAGCCAGCTTAATTTGTGAACATTCCAGACAGTATAAATATAAACACTAATTATTTCGTAGGATTGTTTCTAAATGTCGGAATTGGTAGGTATTTAGTGCAATCATGCGTATGTAATTGTCGACACTTTATTTATTTCTTTTTAAAACTCGGGATTCTGTGTGTAACATGACACGCTTCAAAATGGAACTTTGTCGAGACGAGCGAGGAAATGAGAATCGTTGTTTTTCCGCTTGAATTACGTACCTCAAGGTAATCCTCGAATAAGCGTAGATCGGGTTGAGACGAGTTGTACCTGCGAGAGTTTTATTTAGTTACGAGCGTTGCGAATATTTCTCACGAATGTTCGGTCATTTTTTGAGGACTCCGATAATTTTTATTATTATTTTTTTAGATAATTTATCACGGAAAGTCAGCCGAAGAAGTTTACAAAGCTTTGACTCCTCCGGGAAACCCGACATACATCACTTACCGGTGAGGAATTGGATATTTTTCTCTCATTCATCACTTGACAATTTTTTGAAATGCATTCTTCTTTTTTTTTTTTTTGGAGCAGAGATGCGTCGATGGGTCCGGATATGTTCCCACTGAAATTGGAAGATTGTTTGTCAGCGATTGAGAAAGCCAAAGATTTGGGGTTCTTCAAGTTCGAGTCGTTTGATGTCGAGGAGTACGAATTTTTCGAGGTCGGTTTGGTTTTGAAAAGAAAAGCTGTTTCATTTTTTTCTCGAATACAAATATTGTTGATTTTTTTTATTTGTGTGTGCAGAAAGTCGAGAATGGGGACTTTAACTGGATTTTGCCCGGGAAGTTCCTTGCGTTCTGTGGTCCTCATAGCGAAAGCAAGCTCGAACTTGGTTCGTATGTCTTCTCCGCAAAACTCTTCAATTTTTGAGAGAAAAAAAATTGTTTCATTTTCACAATTTTTAATGCTTCTGTAGTCAAGACAACGTGTTAGATTTTTTTGTGGCTTAAACGAAGCATTTCCGAATTTGAAGGCTCTGTAGAAACATTTTTGCTAAGGTAATTTTTCTAAATCCGTGGAGGCAACTGATTAACGATTTTTATTTTGAAATTCCGCATCGTTTTTGAGCAACTCTCGCAATTGACAAATGAAGAAAACATCTAAAAATGTCAATTGATGAGATGATCTTGAGAACATATGTCACGTTTTAAAAATGTGAATTGGCTTTGGCAAAATATTCTTCAATGATCGGTTTCCTCGCGATGCTGGGTTATGCGAGGGGTCCAAAAAAGTTTCCCAGAATAAAAATTGAGGTAGCAAATGAATGAAGAGCAGAAAGCTGCCAGGGTGGCTTTTGCCAAAAATTCCGCGAAATATCTCAAACCGGGTCTGAGTTTTTTTTTTTTATTGCGCTGAAGAATACTTTTTTTCTTAAAAATTATTGTTCGTTAGCTCAATGCTTTGGCGTTTCAATTTGTATTCCGAGAAATTTTGTTAGACCCCTCGAAAATCGGTTTAATACTTTTGATAATTTAGCAGTAGGATTATGAAGTAAATCGTGGTGACGAGAGAAAAATGCGGGAACATGTGATTGCCTCTGATTGACAGTTTTTCGCGCGAATCGCAAAATTTCTCTCTAAATCTCGTCGCATATCTTCATCAGACGAAAATGAGAGTTCTTTACATTGTCTTACGTGTTTCTTACGACTGATGTCATACTGTTCATTAGATTACCCTGTGCATGCCCCGGAAGCGTATTTCCGGTATTTCAAGCAACGAGGAGTCACGACCATTGTCAGGCTGAACAAGCGGTTGTATGACGCTGGACGGTTTCGGGCTGCGGGCTTCCAGCACTTTGATCTCTTCTTCAACGATGGCTCCGTTCCGTCTGAGGCCATTGTGCGTCAGTTTCTCGACATTGTCGAGAAGGCCCCCGGTGGTGTAGCTGTGCATTGCAAAGGTTACAATTTTCTTTGTGCGAATTTTCTTCTTGTTGCATGTATATTTTTGAGGTCGTAAAAAATGTCCGTGGAGTCCCTGACGGAGCCCCCCGAAAAATTAAGGAAAAAATGTTAATACTGGGAAAGCATAAAAATCTGAAGCAACATCGATTCAAACTTACCCGGAAACGGAGATTTAACAAGGACAAGGATTAGTTAAATATTTCAAATAGGGTTTTAACAATTTAAAGAACCGACAACTACATCGGATACAATTCTATTTTTTATTGTAACTTCATTTTTTGTGATGTATTTTAATGTGCGTATTTTTTGATTTTGTGAAATTGAATGCAACTAGGATACATTTTTTGTTGGATATACAATGTATCTTTGAGGTTTGAAAAATGTCAGTAGAGTCCCTGGGAACTGCTGACGGAGCCTCTGGAAAATGAAAGCAAAAAATTTTGATGAAGGGAGAGCATTAAAATATGGAGCACCATAGATTCAAACTTACCCGGAAAGGGAGATTTAACAAGACCAAGAATTAGTTGAATATTTCAGGAACGGTTTTAACCATTTAAAAAACCGAAAGCCGCATCGGATACAATTTGATTTTCATTTTAAGTTTATTTATTTTTTAATTCATTTTACTCCGCGTGTTTTTTTGTTGTGGAATTAAATGCAACTAGGATGAAACTTGCAGTTCTGACTTCGTCGTCAGACTGAGATTTTTGCTTAGTTTATCTTCCCGACCGTGGGAGTGATTTTTTTTATCAGTGTCTTCCTTCGAAGGGATGGGGTAAATGTGAAAAATCTAATATTTTTGTTTTCCATCGTGAAGACTTTGTATTGTAAATTGATTTTTGGTACTGTGGGTAAATCAGGTTATTTTGCATTTATTTAAATTTTTCCTTCTTTCTATTCAACAGCTGGTCTTGGAAGAACAGGAGTTCTTATCGGCTGCTATATCATGAAACATTACAAGTTGACGGCTGCGGAAACAATTGCGTGGTTACGAGTTTGTCGACCTGGATCTGTGATCGGATTCCAACAAACCTGGTTGGATCAGTGAGTTTTATTCATTTTTTTTCACTTTCCTTCTCATGGTCTTTTTCAAAGCCTGTGGTTTTCCCAAATTTTCCAGGTTGATCTTTTGTTGTTGTACGAAAAATTCCTGTGAGATGGGATGATTGCGGGAAATTGAACAATTTACAGAATTATTGCCTTGGGATTCCCGCGTCATTTCTGCGATTCGCTGCAACTGGGCGATATTTTAAAATTATGTTATTACGTAATTTTCGAATTCATTTAATCTCCTTGAAGTAAGCGATATTTACCTCACACTTATCACGAAGTACAAAAAATAATTTCAAGGATGAATGAATTTTTGAGGGCGAACATTTTTCTATCGATTAAATATGGAAACTTTTTTTTTTCTTTGAAACCTATTCGAAACCCCGTCGTTTGGATTTTTTAGGAACTGATCAGTGCCCAGGAGGTTGATTGAATATTCATTTTTAATAGGTCCTGTAAATTCGATAGTCCTTTTCGATGATGTGGCGTATCATTTTTTTTGTGCTAAATTAATTGGACTTCGTTACGTCAACAAATTTTGTATGAATGGTCGGTTTTTGAAAGGTTTATATTTTTTTACTCTGTTGGATATTTTTCGCTTTAAAAATTCTCGTTTTTAATGGTAGGGTTATGACTTTTTTTCATTTTTCGTGTGCAGAAAACAAGCATTTCTCTGGCTGCAAGGCGATCTGCACCGAACCAAAACCGCTGCCAAGAGCGTGGTGGGTGACGGACCCCCTAGCAACTGCTTGGACCCGCCACCCAGGTTCATCCAGGGCGTGTACCACATTGTGGACGGGAACAGGAACGAGTTGTGTTTCCCGTCCACCCCGAGGGAAGTGGCGAAGATCATGTCCCAGGTCAACACTCTCAAGATTGAGGACAGTGGTGACCACAAAGCAGGGAAAAAGTCGAAGTCCATCAAAGATGCCGTAAGTTAAACTTTTTTATTTCCTTCACTGAACTCCAAGGTTTGATTTTTATTTTTCCGTAACGCTGGAAAAGGAGAATGTGCTTGTTTTCGTTAGCAGGGTTATGTTGAGTCCGTTTTCAGCTTGAAATTTTCTCCTTAAATGGAAATTTCCTCAAATTTTGGCATTTTCGAGTAAAGACGAAAAAGGAATATAAATTATAAATTTGATGTTGAATCCAATTCAAAATGACGCGTATAGCTATAGAACCAATCGAATTTATATGTGGAGGCTCGGAAGAAAAAGATTTTCCTAACGCTCTTCATCTTCATAAAACTATTTTTATCCATGTAAAAATTTGAATCAAAAATGCTTTGCTGCGTAAACTTCTTAGAACTCTTCTTTTTTAAATTCTGAAACGTGTAACGAGTTGTAGGGAAACGCCGCAAGGCATAAAAATTTAAGAAAAAAAAGAGATTACTTAAATGTGTTTCATTTGTCTGAGGGCTGATCATCCTCGCAGAAGCTGTGTATAGTGTTTTGTTCTTCATTGTATTGTGTTTAAAATATTATTTATTCGCGAAATTGCGACAAACATTTCATTGTCCTTGTCTGCATTTTTTCAAGGATTTTTCGGAGCAGCCGGATGAAATTACTCAAGGTGATGAATTGAACCGCCTGAAGGCTCAACGGCGGGGAACTCAGCTTTCTTTGTCAAGTTCTGCACTTGCAAGTCGGAGGTTTGTTTTTATTCATTTTTTATTTACGTTTCATGGACTTCATAGCGTAATATCTATTCAATTCTTCTGTTGTATCCTGATCATTGTTTTCGCAAGCATTGTTATCGAGAAGAAAGGATTATGGTTTAGTTACGCTGAATGAGGCTTTTGTAAAGAATTTTATATTAATAAGTATTTACCGCGAGTCAGAGCTGAAATTGAAGAAAATCGTCGTCAAATTAACGGGGAACACGTGGTCCTTTTTGTGTGTTATTTTTGATTACACGGGATTTATTTTGAAATTGTTTTAAATCGAAAACGTCCATTTGAATAACGTTCGAAGCATCCCTCATGCGTTCTCAGTCTCACCTTCCGGACAGTCTTCAATAGGGTTCAATGATTTTTTTTTCACCCAATCCGATATTTCAACTCTTAATTTTTTTGCGTCGCACTCCTTTTTTCCGCAAGCATTGCTGTTGAAAAGGAAGTGTTAAGGTTCAATGACGCTGAATGTGACTTTTACAATGAATTGTATATCAAGAAGAAATATGTTACGTGAGTCAGAGGAGCTGCAGTTGAAGAAAACCGTCATCAATTTAGCAGAGAACCCTCTCTGCGTTTTTTCTGCGTTTTTCTTTCGGTTTCACGGGTGTTTGAAACATTCTAAATCCGAATCGTCCATTTGAATAACGTTTGAAGCATCCCTCATGTGTCCTCCGTTTCACCTCCAGACAGTTTCCATTAGGGTTCATAAATTTTTTCCACCCGATGTCATGTTTTCATTCATGATTCGAGAGAGAGAAAAAAATGAAGAATTTATTTTCTTTAATGTCAATTTCAGGTCGGTGGAACACGGCGCTTCCAGGTCAACGCACAGCAAGCCCCATAACGTGACGACTGTCAGCGTGAACGGCGTGACAGTGAGCAACAACAACAACACCAACACCAGCAACAATCCCCGTCATCCCCGCAACAACGAACCCAAGTCCGACAGCGCCAACAACAACGCTGCCAGCCACATGCAAATGTCGTCGTCGACGACGACGACGAGCAAGGTACCCGGTGGCACGAGCACGACAGTGAAGACCTGCATCCTCGCTGGGTCGGCGTCCACTTCCGGCTCCTCTGCGTCGACAGTGTCGAGCAGTGCGAGGCAAACGAGCGTGTTTACGCATACGAGTACGACGACGTCGACACTGACGACGACGACGTCTGGTGGCGGTGGTGGTCAAGTGCTGTTGTCGCCCGGGTCGTCGAGCGTGTTGGGGAGTAAAGTGAAACGCGGTGTCAAGGACGCTGTGCAAGCGAAAAAGTGAGTCTAGCGGAAGTTGGTGGAGTTTTTTTATATGTTTTTTCATGAATGCGTCCTTAAATTTGATACGAAGCATAAGGCGGACATTTATTTTTTTCTATAAAAGTTTTGATAAAATATTTATTGTACGTGATATGAAAAATCAATCATCTAGTCGTTCGAAGTTTGTGGAAATTTTGTTTTCGAGAATGCTTTTTCAAGTTTGATAAGATCGTTAACGAGATTCAAGAGACTAGGAAAAAACTCTTGGTTCTGGGATATCGTTTTAGAAATTTTTTTTTTAGAGAAAGTCCATGTGTATTATTTTATTTTCTGTTCTGTTCTTCAGAAACAAATATTTTTCTTTGATTCGAAAGTTGACCTGGTTGTTTCGGACTTCTTGTAATTTTAATTTTCTCCAGTGAGTCCTTCCTCGAGTTCATCGTTATACTGAATCTTTCACAATTTTTCAGTTTTCTTTCTAATATCTCTTATTGAAATAATGACGTAAAACGGTTATATTTTTGATTGAATAATGCCTCTGACGAAGGAGGGCTGTCAATTTTTTTTGTGCTGATGACCTTATTTTATGTGAAAGTCCTGATGATGAAGATTATATCCTAGCCTAAAAATAAATGCTGCACTGTGCATGAAGCATTCAAAAATTGGATTTTTCAAGTGATTCGGACCTTTCATGTATCTTGTCATTGACCAATTTCGTGGTAGAAAATATGGATTTTTTTAATGATTGTTGACTGATTTCGTGATCGTTGTCTATTCAGGTCGACGGGGCAAATCAGGAGCAGCAGCAGGGGCAGAACCCGAGTGCTGAGATGACTAACGGCGTCCGGCGCTTCCGCGTTGACGAGGCGACGATCGGACGACAGCGACGCCAAACAGCGCCCGTCAGCCCAGGAAAAGCGCCGCCGCCTGCTGCCCGACTGATGAAGCTCTTCCTCGTCTTCAGCGGCGTTGTATTATCTTTTTCTTTTTCATCTCATACCCTCACTCACTCTCGTTAACACGTTAGGAAAGCTTTACTAGAAAGAAACAGCACATTTTTTTAGGTTTGTGAGCCTACATTTTTTTTTTTCATTGGTACATTTTCATTCGAAGAAAAGTACTGTGTGTCATGAAGACTGCTTTTCGAGGATTCCACGCTTGTCCGTGCCTTGGGGATTTTTTTTTTTGGGAGAAATTTGCCGACGTTTGTTCTCACAAATCTTCGAAGCACTGGAAACTCGATCTAGGCACCAATTTTATTGACGAGACGTGTTTAGGAAATTTGGTACGAATCTTGCGGAAATATCTTCCTAAGTTGGTTGACCTATCGTGACTTGTATTTTAAATTGCGATTTTCTTATAAGTTTGAACATTTTGAATCGAAATGAGCAAGTTCTTTGTCCCACCACAAGTTATTGGTTATTTTGTCGGATGAATTCGTGTGATTGTTGATGAGTTAAATTCCATCAGCTTCGAAAAGTAGGGGGCTGAATTCATTAAGAAGAAGGTAAATCCGAGTGAAATCCATGATATTTATGAAAGGTTTCCCGAATTTTCTTCTCTTCACGTTGTGTGCCAAAAAGGATTTTCTTCGTTACTGCTAATTCCGACGTTGCAGTTCTTTTTTTTTTTTGGGCCGAAAAATAGGGTGAAGGGTTTTTCTCAGTGCTGTGAAGGTAATGCAGACCAAAGAAGTTCAACCGCTAATACTAGACATTTTTTGTAGTACAGTAATGAGTCTGGAATGCTCAGAGGGTGTTCAAAAAGTAACTGCGCATTAAGAAATTGCATTGATCTGGATGCATGAGTAAAATACTCATCGATGAAGCACTGAAAATCCTCAAGAACTCATAAATGTCTTCAGGCCTCAAGGGGACAATTGCATAATTTGCTGTTGAAGAAACTGCAGTACTTCAGTACAGTACATGTGAAGCCACTTCACTTCATACGAGGGATTTTTTTAATTTATGACTTGGGGATTAGAGCTGTGAGAAGTCGTGAAAATTTAGTTTTACTCTAAAGTAATAAATTTGGAGAGTGGTTTCCCATTTATATTATTGATAGATTATCTTGTTCTTCCATCAATCTATCTTTTTATTCGGTTGTGCTGCAAAGAGTTTTTCGTTGTTGTGGAAGATGCCTCGATTTCTATTGGAATACTTGATGACTACTGAAAGGAAAAGCCTTCCAGTTACCAATTTTCTCGAAGAATGTCCCGATTTCGTCCAGGACTGAATTTATTTTGTTATTGGAAGCAATCCCCCCTCATTCCCCTGAGACTAGTCGTTGGCGTTTAGTTAACCACTGTTCTTTTCCAATGTCCATTAGTAACGGATTTGATGAACTGTGGAACGATTGCCAATTTGGTGCCAGTGTTGGTGATTATTATTTTTTTCTTGGGTGTCAATTAGTCGACTTCGTTCTGCGATGGATAGTTGTATTTTTGTTTTTGTGGATCTATTTAGATTATTTGTACAGGCATAGTTTTTTTTCGGTTTCGTTTTTTGTTGGATTAATCTAGAAAGGGAGCAAGACTGAGATTTTCGACGGAGAAGACGTTGGGGCCGCAGCGACACCTGTGTCTTCCCGGGTGCTATCTCGAGAATTTTTTCAAGGTTTTTTTTTTTTTTGCAAATTTGTTTGACGATTTTTTTGTTAAAACTGTCTTTGCCTATGGTAAATGGGAACCCTGCGCTTCTTTTGCATTCCAGACAGATCGCAGACCTGAGCACTCGATGCCATTTTTGATCCTCGAGATTTTCCTTTTATGAATTTCATTTTTTTAGTGAAAATCATGACGCTGAGGTCTTCAATTCAAGAACTATCATCTTCGTGGGGTTTTCTTTTTATTTATGAAATTTTTTTCAAGTGTATCTCATTTATTCATCAATGGTATTCAATTTTTACGCATTGTTCTTCTTTAACGAAATATTGATTAGTCTATTTTTGAATTTGCTGTCAAGCTTTTGTTGTTCGGCGGAGCACAGATCCAGATTCTCTGCTCTTGGCCCAACAGTGTGATAACTGTTTTTATCCTAAATTTTTTAAATTATTCAGCTTGAAATGCGTGAATTCTGATTTCTGCTGAGTGTGCAAGTCTGATGTTTGAATTGCGACGGAGGCTTTTGGTGTCCATTTTGCATCGGTTGCGCGTCATGCGAGCAGTTTTAACAAGAAATAACTCGTTTGACTACGAATTTTTTTTTCGGTTATTGATTATGTTCTTCAAGAATCTTGTCGCATGCGTGGATATTCCAAAGAAATGTGAGCGAATTTTTTCTTGGGCGGAAACTCGTCGATACGAGAGGCTTTTCTTGCACGTCTGCGTAGCGTCCAGTTTCTGTGTTAATTTTTTATGATTGACTCGATCATGTTTATCCAAAAAAAAAGAGAGAATCGGTGACTTGAGGAACTTCACGGTTGATGAGTTATGTTACTAGATTGACTCAGCGTCGAGTATATTCTTGTTTACTAATGACGTTTGAAAAAGAAGAGGAAGTCTCCCAAGGATTCCAGAAGTGCTTAGACTTTGTCATGGCGACGTCAAATATTTTTCGAACTTGTGAATACGATTGCTAACGGAGAACTAGCGTGTATTTGAAATGCAGGGGTTTCGATAAAAATTCGGACGAATCGCAAAGTGGTTGCTGGTTGGTAGAGAAGTTATTGTCTGTTCTCCCGCCATTTTGCCGATTTTGGCAAGATGACAATTTGGGACTTCTTGCGTGGATCTTGAAATTGCAGCACTTCGGCACATTGCCCGTGGATTTCGTCGTCTGCTTTGTATTTTTTGTCCACTCTCATGTGAAGACAAAAACGTAATAAAGGGAAAGTATGGAAAATGATATTTGTGATCATTTATTTTTTTATGCTGCATACCTGAGCTTGAAGAAAACAAGAATATTACACTGGAGAACAAAAAGAGTGTCCATTTAAAATGAGCAGCCCTCAGATTTCTATTTTGAAATACTGTGTAATTAATAATTTGAAGAGTTGATGGATTTGAATTAAATTATTATTACTTTATTGTATTATCAAATTTTTTACTCCTCAGTCCTCACCATTTAAATTTTTCTTGTAGAGGTGGAAATTCTCTACGTCAATCTTATCTACAATAGTTTTCTCATGATAGCGTAAAAATGTGTTGGCCCCTTATTTTAGGGTTCTCTTCCCATATTACAGTACATAGGTTCTATTAGTGAATTTTGCTACAATTTTTCTCTATTACCTTGAATTTTGTTGTAGAGAGACAAGTCAAGAACAATACTGTACATTATAGACTTCTGTAAATGAAAGGCTTTCTCCCACAAACCTGATCACAATGAGAATTTTCTGGATGCCTTCATTATTCTGCTATTTGTTGGGAACTAAAGAAAATATATAAAATCCTTTCAGAAATAATTTGGTGTCCAATTGGAAAGATTTACCTTTGCCTCCAAGTTCAGTCTCCTGCTGTCAACTAATTTAAGAAGCAGTTTAAAGCCCAAAACATATTTCAGTGGAATCCTGCAATTCTTATTTTTCATCTCTGCAAATAAAAATGCCGTTTTCCAAAGAACTCAATGAAACCTCCTGAAGTTGAACTTTCTTGCTGGCCAATCCCGTAAATTTTAGTTTTTACCTTCTTTGTCCATCAGTGTACAGTACATATATATGTACTGTATATATCGCAGTATATGAAAGGAATCTTGAAAATTCAACTTTTGACATATCTGAATGACAAATATACAGGTGAATTTTAATTCGTTGGAATACGCTGCTGCACCGAATCCTGATAGATTAAAATATTGCTTAAATATTTCAGATTGCTGTTGAAATCTTTGTACTGAAAATGAATACAGTTGTACAGCTTAATTTTTTTCTATTGATCAGTATTGCCCAAAGTATAGTACTGTACAGTACCAGACATGATGATGAAAATGTCCATGATGATTTTAACCGGCGAAAGCAGCGCTCTGTGTTTGATGATCGGACCTATTTCTCGTACGCCATAACTCGTGCACACGGATCTATGATCTGCCGCTGAATGTTTTTTCAATGTTCGCATGTTATCGATTATCTTGACTGTAATTGGTAAATTCAATTGGCCTCATGTCAGTTCGAC